TTCTTTTCTTTTTCTTTACTATATTCTTATTCTTTCTTTTCTATTTTTCTTTCTATTTTTTCTTCTCTGCACTTTATTTTTTCTTTTTATTCTTTTTTAGTTTGTATTAGTTTGTATTTTTTTAACTGTAATTTTTAATAAAATTACTATAAAAAAAGGATTTAAAAATATTTTTACACTTAAAGCCTCTCTTCATCCTATAATCACTGCATTGTCTGCAGGAGGTCCCTTTTTGCTGCCTTGTAATACAAACCACCAAATTAAGTGTTAGAAGAATCCACAAAAATATTCTGCATTTTATCTTGAACCCTTAAAATGAATGTTTTTGTTAAATGAGGTTCAAGTCAGCTTAAACAATTTATACCTCAAAGGACATATGGAGATTTGAGAAGCTGAAAGGACTTCTTCTCCTTTCCAATCCAATTGAGATCTCCCTCCCCCCAAAATTTCTAATGCTAGAAAGGCTTTTGGCTGGTTACCTTCAGCATTTTTATCTTATGATGGGAAGATTCTAGAATAGTAAATCAAAGCTTTAATGAAAGTATTGAGAGGTGGGGTATTTTGCTTTGCTTAATGCATACATGATTGGAATATTGTTTAGTGAGAACTGGAGGACTAAGGTAGTTATATTATCCTGCAAAACTATAATGTAGTTCTCTAGATGGAACAAAGTAAATGTATAGTAAAAGAACAATGAGAAGCTTTAGATTAAGTAAACATCCAGACATAGTCAATTTTCTCCCTGCCTTAAGTTGCTTGGAGGAAAGGAGGAGAATATAGCTATTTAAAACTTTGGAGCCCACCACATTATAATGGAAGAACCACATCACTTTACCAAGAAAGTCAGACTATATCCCATTCTCATTTACCTGGCAGTCAATCCCACTGAATTCAATATGTCTTATTTTTTAGCAGACAGGAGTAGGATCTAACTCTTAGTTAAATCCTAGAGGCCACAAGACTATATGATGTAATGCTAAATTAGGAAGTTTAATCACCATGTTTTATATGAACTTAAAATATACTGTTTTTCTCATGTGATGGAATTTTAGTACACAAGCAAGCCTCAGATTCCCAAAACTAGAAGTACAGCATAATTAGATCTATTTTCTAGGAGCAAAAACATTAAAAAGAAAACTTAAGTGCTTAAAATAATTAAACTTTTAAAAACTGAGCTACATTTTTACAGATATGAAAGTATAAGTCTTTCAATGAATGTTACTTGTATAGTGCTTTTAAATTGGCTTCAAATAAATCAGTAAGAACCTATACAAAGCAAATTGTTAAAATTATATTGAATGCATTTTGCTGCCAAAGAAGCATGTCCAAACTGAATTTGAAAAGGCTATACAAAAATTTGTATCAACAAACTAATAACTTTTACGGGTACCTATATTTGAGATATTTGAAACAAGACTGAACACAAATGTTCATGAAGCCAAATTTTATATAACACAGCCAGTATGCATGTACGTTTATTTTAAATAAATTTATTAAATAATGAAATGTATTTGAATATTATTCCAATTTCCTTTCCCTAGAATTAATATATCATGCATTTTGAATAATGGTATACTGTTTAAATATTTGATTCCTTGCACAATGTTATCTGGGAGGTTCAGTGCTGACTGCAGTCTTCCAAAGGACACCTACAGCATCTAGAGAAGCCGCAAGACAGAGTAATACAGTATGACTGACTATTAAAAGCACTGCTGTCTACTAACACTGCTGCAATTATTAGGCAATGTATTTGTCAAGGGTGCCATACTTCTTTCTGTATTTTTTTTTAATCTCAGGGGTAGGCAAGTTTTACCACCATAACTGACTTTAATGTTTTTTTTAGATTCTAAGAAAGGATGCGCAAGCAATACCAGCCCCCAGGAGCATTTTTATTTACAAGAATGACCTTAAGCTCCACAAACATTCTTGGAAAATAAAAGTACTGTCTCATCAGGAATGTGTTCTTCTACTCTTTAAAAAGAAAAAAGTTGGAGTGAATCTACAGAATCTGTGTACTATAGCAGTAAAGTTTTATGCCTGGGGGAGTAATCATTACAGCCATTTTTTTGAGCCTACCCATAATATGTTACCAAAAAGGTAGGCTATCCCTGCTTGATTTACTTGCTAACTTAACATACAAGTAGGTGCTATTTGTAGTCATTATATTTGTTACTGAACCTTTTCTTGAAGCTTCTATTCTTTCTCCATGAACCACAATTTGTGCAATACTGCTGCACAGCAGAAAATACAGCGCAAAATATCATTCATTAGGAGGTACACTACAAATTCCTCCCCTAATTTATATTATTCCTTTTCAACTATTTTTCAGTATCTCTATGCTCAGCCTCTACAGTGCACAGCTTCTTTTATTTAAGAAAGTGTTATCCAGAAGTATGCTATCTTTATTTAAGAAAGTGCTAACCATACACTCAGAAAATCCAGTTCAGTAATATTCAACTTCAAATCCATGAAGCCTTAGGTCAGTCCTGGTTAGCCTAACCTACCCCACAATCACTGTAAGAATAAAGGTAATGGGAGAACAGAAAGGATATATGCTACCCTGAGCTTCTTTCAGGAAAGATGAGATAAGTAATAGATTTGGCAGGCTAAATTTCTCTCATCACGCAGAGCTGAAGTCACTGCTTTACTGATGTAGGCCCAACATAGAGCAGCATCACCCTAACAAAAAACAACTTTTGCCTGGATCCTGAAGTCATCAAGGCACTCACACTTTTTCCCCAAAGCCAGATCTCTTTAGGCAGCCTGCCCAGCAATTCTTAACTGAAACTGGGGCAAGAATAATTAAGCAATTCCTCTCTCCCAAAGCCTATTATCTAGGCACCAGAAAAGCAAGATATTTTATGTATATTTGTTAAATTTTTATCCCACCTTTCCTCCAGCTCAAGGCAGTATACATAACACTCCCTCCGTTTCCCCCCCCCCCCCCCAACAAAAAGCAGAAAAAAAACCCCCCCCCCCCTTCCCCCCCCCCCCCCAGACAACCCTGGGAGGTAAGCTGGGCCAAGTGAGTGAGAGAGGGAGGAAAGTCCAAAGCTGGCCAGAGAGCTTCCATGGACGGGCTGGGCTTGCTCTTGGGTTTCCCTGGTTGTAGTACAACACCTTAACCACCTCACCAGATGGTTGCACAGAACAGAGTAAGTGGAAAGTGGCCACAAGGGAAAATGAGACTGACAGGACAATGTGACTGAGAATAAAGCACAGGGCAAGATAAATCTACATGCCCTGGCTTCAGAGAGCACAACAGAACAGCCCAAACCAGTTCCTTCTGATACCGCAACCTGAATGCAAGCTTCCCTGTGGGGTGGGGTGGGGGGCGTACAGCATGCAAGACCAACCACCCCGTGAGGCTTTTTACGCCCGCCAACTACAAGGAATACATTTCCCACTGGGGGTGACCGGCCTCGGGGAGAACGTCGGACAACTGCACGCCAGGCGGAGCTGGAAAGGTGCGCGTTCGCCCCTCGGATGCAACGCAGACGGCGACGTTTCCTCCTTTCCTGGAATGATTGCAACTCACCAGACGGAGCCGTAAGCTCCGGAACCCACCGGCGAGAGGTTCTGGTAACGCTCAGGCACCTCCCAGACCGTCTTGTTCAGCTCTTGCCGGTAGAACTTGGGCCGCTCCTGGGTCATCTCGACCCCGAGTCCGCCCCACCCAGCGGGGCCGGGAGGGAGGAGACCCTCGAGCAGGGACCTCGGCTCCTCCCCCTGCAGCGAAAGGGGGTTTCCCGCGCGGAGGGAGGAGGTGGGAAAAGTCGCCCGCGCCCAGCTGCAACTTCGGTCGCTGGCCGCGGCTCGCTCCGAGCGCCCTGCACCGCTGCAGCCCCTCCTCTGAAGGAAAGGAGGGGGACCTTTGGAGGAACAGTGGCCGGAGCCCCGCAAGCGCTCACTTCTCCAGGCTGCCCGATCCCTGGCGGGGAAGGCCACCCGCGGAGCACGCAGGGGTCTCTAAGGAGACCGGAGCTGGTTCAAGAGTCGAGCGGGCAGCCAAGCAATGACGAAGACACGCCAGTCTGACTTCTCCGAACCTCTTCCTAGATCCTCGACCAATCGATTGCAGAGGTATCGCGAGAGCTGCGGCTCGGAATTGCTTGAGGCAATGCCCCAATATGGAACGTAATTCTTGCGGCCTATATGAGCGCAGCCCGCTAGGACCGTCTCGCGAGATCTGTAAGGAGGGAGAAGCGGAGGAAGGCGGAGCTTGAGGTAATTGTAGAAATCGGGCTTGCCTTCCCGGGATGGCTTGACGGCGCAAGCCTGCTTTTATTTTCTTACAACTTGGCTCTCTTCCCTGTTGCTGTGGCGAAGTGCCGTAATCTTCATTGCGACATTTCTAAGGCAACCCTTTTGATTTATCAATTAACAGTCCTAATCCAGTAAATTCCTATAAAGGAAAGCACCTTTCCCCCTCGTTTTCGCTTAGCCAGCCTAAGTGACTGAAATTGCTGGGCTTCCACTTCTTTTAGATCCAGCGTTTACCCTACAGCAGGGTCGTCCAGCTTTTCTCATTTTCATTATCAAAAGCGCACACACTGCTTCGCTTCCTTGTACTGGCACAGGGTTGATCCCATATATCCACCCGTACACAGAATCAAGCTAGTGTTTTGCTCATTTGCCCATCTCCTGCTCCTGGAAAATTACCAGCATCCAATGCTAGTTTCTGTCTTTTTTCAGGAAGAGGGTCTGTAAGGGGAATCATGTCTTATAAACCATAACCTATAACCTCTTCAGCCATTTCTCTATTCAACGCCGCTCCGCAAAAGGATATTTCTTTAACAACGCGAAAGTAACATAAGCCTAAATCTCACATTGGAAGTCGAGGCGCGCCTCTAACAGCCGTATCGCCATGGCTTACGATTCTGCAGCGGTTTCAGACGCTGCAAGCTGCCACGCCATCTACTGATGCAAGAGCACACATCAGAAACCAGTCCCCGGAACAGCCGCTCGGATGGGACCCCCGAAAGGCGTTCTGTCCATTAAGTCCCACGTCTGCTATGCGTGACTTAAAACCTCGCCCGCAGCCAGAACGGACAGCGAACACGTCACAATCCACTGTCCGGCGACAGCACCTCGCTACCGCTCGCGTGGGGGAGTTTTTACCGTTGTCCCCGCTCTCTGACCCTACCAAATCCGGCGAAGCCCGAAAGGGAAAACAGTGGGCTGCGGAGGGGGAGGCGCGTGCGCTCCGCACATGGGACAGGGGGAGGCGGGCGAGGAGCCTAACACGCGGCTTCACCCTCTCATGCAGAGGAGGGGACGGTGCCGTACGCGCTCGGAAGAACCGGGGGGCGTGGCTTTCCTTAGTAGTCCCAGCTCGGAAGGAAGTGACAGCAGCGGCGCCGAAGAAATTTGGTGGCGCGCACAACGGCGCGCGAAGATACCGGCCGTACGCACGCGCCGACCGGCCCGCCCGCGCCCGGCGCAGGCGCAAGGAACATCTTTAGAGCGCACGCGTGGGAGCTCCGCGGGGCTGCCGTCGCTGGCCGCCATGGAGCGGAAAGGTGAGTGCGTTGGGTTTCCTTGCTCCGGTTTTTTTTTCTTTTTTCTTTTTTCTTTAGTTCGCCTCAGGAAGGGGTTGCTCTTCTTGGTCCTCTTTTACTGCGAATTCATACCGTTGCTCTAATATAAATGATCTGGTTTCTGGATTCTTTTTAGTATACTTAATACTAGATGCCTGTTGCATTTTAAAGATATGTTGACAGTAGTGTAACTCCTGAGCGTGTGCTTACCTCTCCCCTTTGTGTGTATGAGGTAGAGAGTGTGATGATACTTTGCCTCCGCTTATGTTATTTAACGAGGTAAAATAATCTGGCGGAGGCATATGTCTGTAATTGAACTCAATCACAAATAGTGCTTCTAGGAAAGGTAGGGGTGCTTTGTAAACCAAATATAGTTGATGATGCTAAAAATTAACCTTTCTTTACCAGATGAAACTTTTTGACCCTGCTTTCTTCTGCTTCCCCATCTCTTTTCAGTTCTAGCATTGCAAGCCCGAAAGAAGCGGACCAAAGCCAAGAAAGAAAAGGCCCAGAGAAAGTAAGTGTGTTCTTCAATGTGTTTTAAATGAAGGTAATTGTAGAAAGCTGTATTTTCTTGAATCAAAATAAAGAAAAAAGTCTAGTAGACTTTCATTCCTACTGTTCGTACCAGCCCATCCTTATGGCAGCATGTATATAAAGCGTGCATTCAGTCTCTGACAATACATTTGTCAATTTTCTAAAGTAAGTTGGATGCAATGAATTACATAAATGCTGTTAAGGTATTTGTATAGTATATAAAAAGCTAGAGCTGGACTTAGCTTGTGTCTTCTGGCCACCTCTGGATTTTCTGCTGCTTTAATTTTCATGGTGATTATTTGGGGCATAACAGCCATTTAAGCACCTTATGGAGACACCCTACCTGCTGCCTCTTGAGAGATCTGAAATATTTAAAGTTCCTTCTGGAGTTGCACTGACAGGGTAAAATAGGAGGAGGGCATTTTTTTCCTTCTTCCTGTTTATTGTCTAGCTAAAGTCTTTCCTTCATGCAGCAGCTTAAGTAGCTCTATTTAACCCAAAAGCTTCATTTTATAGCCATAGGCAAAGCAGGAGCTCCACATTTTTAGCAAATACTGGAATATACTTGTCTTTGGTTATTACTATGATAACTCCTGTCTTCTAAGAATTCCCATTAATTTCAGTTAGACTTACCACTGAGTAACTATACACAAAATTATTGTGTGTTAAGGGGCTCATGATTTACATTTAATTAAATTCAATTACCTATATGATGTAATATCCTGTGGAACAGTCTTTAAGGCTATAGTACCATACACACTGGCAAGTGTCTAAGCCCACTAATTTGTTTACTTACTGGATTTTTTTTTTTAAGACAGTTGCCATCATGTGACTCTCGATGGCTGCAAAGAATAAAATTCCATGGTACAAATAATATTGTAATAAAGCAACCATTAAAATGTGTCATTAATTCACTATCAGAGTGATATGTAAATAATCCTTGAAGCTCTGTCCTAACTAGTTAAAAAACCATCCACGAGAGTTCCTTTTTAACTTGCTTCCAGAAGACCACTAGGGTCAGGGTAAATCTAACCTCCGGTTTCACATCATGGGTGCCATAATGGAGAAGTCTTCCTCCTTGCCTTGGTTGTTCTGATTTCATGATAGTGGGAAACTACCATTTTTTCCCAGTTAGGTTGATACTGTTTGTATTCTGAAAGTACCTCAGCCCCAAGCCATGTAGAACTGCAGAGTCACCAGAAGCCTGTGTATAGAGTAAACCTTTAATTAAATGCGCTAATACGGTGAAAAAATGCCCATTAAAGCAGAGTATCCATAAATTAAATGCATAAAATTGGAATGAGTCTTCAAGCACATGCAATTTTTACACATCAGGCATGAGTAAAACGGTGACTGGGTATGGAGAGATTTTTTCTGTTGCATTTAAGATCCATTAAGGGTTTACTGTATATACTTATGTAATGTTAATGTAAAGTAGCAGCCTGAACTGTCTGCACAGTCACCTTCAAATGAGCTCTGCACAGAAGCAACAGCAATGAAGTCTCTTTAATGCAGTCCACAAACAACATAACAAAAGTAAAAATGTGCTTCTTCAACTGTTGGTTTGAGGCTTCTTCCAATTGCATGTGCACAAAACACAATTCTGACATTTGGCATTCTGAAAGTTCAGCATCATAACAGTAAGAATTTGTAATGCACATAATATATAGTTTTGCATTTGACAACCTGCATAAAAAACTAAGCACAATATATAGAGAGACAACAGCACGACATTACAAGCAACAAACTAAGATGTCTTCATAGCAAGAAATTCCGTGGCAGCACTAAATGTGTCTGCTGGGCACGCAGCAGTGTTACTCTCTCTTCATTTTTAACGTTTTTCTTCATTTTTATGCTCCTATATCCTTCGGTTACTCCAGGCAGTGGCTAGCAGGGATGAATTTGGCTAATGCTTTCTCCAACTCCCTGTGGTTTGGAGGAATTTAAACAGAAAAATGAATCATGCAACTTGGGCATACTCCAAAAGTTTTGGGACAAAACTTCAGAAATTTCTTTTGTTCTGTGTTTGGAACTTCAAAATAGCTTTTCAGGCTTAGAACATTTCACCCATCTTTAGGATGCACCTAATATTTTGTAGAAATAGAGACTAAAGTTCAGTCTTTGAGCACTAATAAAATGTTGCTTTGTTTTGTGGAAAATGCTATAAATCACTAATAGGCATCAACAAAGTAGTTCCTGATCATTTTTCTTTGTGCATACAGAAGTCTTTCTCAGTAGGAATACTGAATAAATATGTCATGGCTTAGAAGTTAAGCAGGGTTGAACCTGATTAGTACTTGGATGGGAGAATACCAAGGAATACCAGGGGGATGCAGGCTATGCTGGGAAGATGAAAAGAATAAAACAAGATAGTGACAAAATTGCTTTTATGTTATGCCAAAAAAAAACAAAAACCACACCCTATCTGGACATATCCATGAAGTTGTCAGAAATTACTCTTTTATCAAAAGAGATTTTTATTTTTAAAAGTCCCTTAAGATATTGAGTGTATTTTGATCCTAATTGATGGTTGTTTTTTGTTTTGGGGGGGCTTTTTTTTTTAATTTTCCATTTTTTAAATTTGTTAATTCTTTAAAAGGATTGTTCTGTAAAGTTCATGGATAAGCTTCTTTGTAGCAGAAACAAGTTTACACTGTCAGAATTCATTTTAAGCAATAAATGTGAAATTACTTTGTGCAGTGTTTTATTATATAGAAAAAAATAGCCAATGTTATGAAAGAAACTTCAAGCGTAGTGACCAATATGATAGAAATATTTAAAATAATATTGTAGATTTGCAAATAGCCAATAAACCACAGAATGTTTGTCTGCCTGCCCACACATACATTATTGTTATTTATCTGTCTTGTTAAAAGAAAAAAAATTAACTTTGGAAAATTTCCTTTTGTGGAGTTAGAGCTTG